CTCTTGACCGGCACCTATCATCATTGATAAGAAAGATGAATGGGAAGTTGAAGAAATCCGAGACTACCGCCTTTGGCCTGGAAATGATCAGTTCCTAGTCAAATGGAAAGAATACCTAACAAGTAAAAATAGCTGGGAACCACTAGAAGGACTAGAGCACGCTATGGATATGGTGAACGAATGGTGGAAAGACAACATGCCAAACGAATCCCTCCCTCCAATGATCAATTATATCACAATGTGCTGGACACCAATGATGCCTGAGACTGAGCGATGACAGATGGAACTCAAAGCTAGGAATGGGTTTTGAGCACCATACTTTGAGTTGAAATTCGAAAGCAGCAATGAGGAAAATCAAGCTATGGAACAAACTCTCGACAACCTCATCTGATTACCATCAACCATCCGAATACCATAACGATATCAAACTATGTGGAACTCATTGTGAGGCTGCGACAACAGATTGTTGGACTATTGTTGAACCGCGATATTATCCAACTTGAAGACTACTTCGAAATCCTCTGGATAGACTACTGTCCTGATTGCGACAGTGCTTGAGTTGATGTACTGCATGAATCTGGTATTCGTGACTACTGTAATCTGCATTTCTTTGAGTCTACATGTTTTCTTAAGATTTCTTCTTGTCCCTGGTGTGATACTTATGATGAAGAGCTGATAGCAGAAACTGAAGCCTTTAGTTTCTCAGACTCTGCTTTTGATGATTATTAGGTTTTTGTTTAAACAGTTGTTTTGTTTTGGGGAATGTAACCGGTACAGATACTCGGTTATTAGTTTTGTTTTATGATTTGTTTTAAATATCACTTTGATACTTGGTTTGTTTTAAGTATCATTTAATACTTAGTTTTGTTTTGTGTTATGTTTTAAGTATCGCTTTGATACTTGGTTCATTTTAAGTATCATTTGATACTTAGTTTTGTTTTGTGTTATGTTTTAAGTATCTCCTTGATACTTGGTTTGTTTTAAGTATCGTTTAATACTTAGTTTTGTTTTATGTTTTGTTTTAAGTATCGCCTTGATACTTTATTAGTTTCACCAAAGTGTATCAATTGATACCTTTGATTAGTTTCGTTCATGCCAGATATAAACAGATTTGTGTATTTAAAGACTGCCTATTTCTACGATAGAAAAGGCAGACTTCGACAAACAGTATTTCAATATACTTGGTTGAACGGTTACTTCTTTGTTCCTCAGTACACTCTCGAAGTCTTCTTTAGTTCTCAGCTCTTACCTCCTCTCTGGAAGAGCAGGCCACCTGCCAACTATCATATCTATTACCGATAACATAATTAGCACTCTGCGAACACGTTACACTTGGTATGAGAGCAGCAGAATGTGCTAACTTCAAAATGTAATTCATCAGTGAACAGTACTTTTGTAAAGTTAAAGTCAAAATACTTCAATCTCAGTTCTAGCCTTACTGCTTTAGCTTGTAGAGTTAGAAAAGGCTTACTTGTAGAGCGATAGTGGTGGATCCCATCAGCAGCCAGTATGTTAGAGTGAGTATAACTACAAAAACTAAGTCCTGATTATAATATCAGCTAATGGAGTGGCTTCTAGCAGTGGATAGCATCATGAAGGGCCAGAGCATTAATACACTGTTTTTCAATAGCAGTTAATACTTCACAATGGCTCTTCTGTGAAGTTGGAGACAGATGTAGGTTCTTTTCAGAGCATGGATTTTGAATTTGGGTCTGTTGAATACAGAGGATGGAGAGGTGAATAATATCTGGGCAGGTTGATATTGGTACATTTGCTATTGCTGATATTTCATACAAGGGAAGCTGCCAGGGTCCAGGCAAATTTGCAAGTGCAACTATCTGACCCCGCCTGGATAAAGAGGTTGTTAGTCCTCATTGCTGTACTGTACTTGTTTCACTACTCTGAGGAACAAAAACTATACTAATATCTTTTAGCAAAATTATCTCTGAAATCGAGCTGCCCCTTGACTACTGTAAGGGTGGTATAAGTATTAGAATATCTTACCAGTAATGCTGAAATTGAATAGAACTGCAAATATTAAGCAGTTTCATTGCTGGCAATCGTTTATTCTCTCTATACCACAGGTATTTATACTGCAATTAAGCCCACCATTCTAATGACCTCAGCTCTGATCACCACTATGGTCATCATTGCTCCATTGATTTTCATCACTCTTTCACCTTATTTCTGTTTCGAGATTGTGTATGACCTCGCTACTCTAATTTGATATTATTTCCACTAGTTCCAGAACACTGCTTATAGTTACCGGATTCCGAATACACGATGAGAACATAGGTACTCGAGTGCTTTACCAAATTTAATAAGCAAATTCTATCACTCCCCCACTACCCCCGCGCAACATTGTAAAACCTTAGCTTATAATAGATATCGCAGCCGATGCAATCTATTGGCCTCCCTATCGAGCGATATTTACGATAAGCGACCGGGGTGGTGCCTTAGATGCCCCTTTAGAGATTTTTGGGCAGTTCTTTTTCTTTAACCCACATTAGCAAATAATGCTTTCGCTGCTCGGTGGGGGCCGCGGTATTAGGGACGAAGTGCCTACGTTAAAGCTTCCGTTGAAGGCGTAACTTGCAGGAATGTGGAGAATTGGCGCCTGAGTACCTTCAAGTGTGATAAGCTTATTGACGGGGGATGGTCCAGGCACCATTCAGGAACGGAACACAATGGGGCACCAGAGCGGTCTCATTGTTGACACCATGCTTCATACTGTAAATAGCTAAAGGGAGGATGATACCCCTCTAAATTACATTTGAGAGGCATAAGCTAGACCTTCCCACTACTACCAAAAAAGTCCTAGCAGAGTTGATACTTTCCAATTCTAAGTATCCCATTATGGAATCTGATATTGCGGCTGTCATAAATTGGATACAGTTAGGGAATATCATGAGGTAAACTTACATGTTCCAATACCTTCTAACATTAGCATTGGCTGTCTACTAGCGACGAGTTAATGCTGCTGTTGGTTCGGGCTCCCGGAACTCTCCAAGAGACTCGCCAGAGGTGGCCCAAGAAATTGACAGAGTTTGTCATTCAATCCACTATGCCGATGGACGTCTGGTATTAAAGATCGAAACATTTGTGGCTCCAAGTGTGATTCGCGTTTCGAGCTTCCGCTAAAGATGCAAAGCCAAAGGAAATCTCCTCCGTATATATGGATAGATATTGTAAACTGGCCTGAAATAGATAATATACCCGTTCTATCCCAGATCGAAATATTACCTATTATGCAAGGGGATAAAATGAATACTTGAGTAGAGTGAGATCGTATTTTAACAGATATATCTGGTACAGTAGAGAGGCTGGAGCGGGGGAGACTGCCAACGCCTCTAATCAATCGGGCGATATGAGATGATGGGTGTTTGAAAACCGGGCCTTGTTCATACCCGTCTTCGAGGCCCTTTTGGTCCCTCTCGCTCTATATGTATTTTCTCATACTTGATCGTGCGAGCCCCAGAAGGTATGATAGAGGCCGCCCCAGAAGGCCCATCCAACAACACCCTCAGGCTCACAGAATCGGAGCAGCATCCTCATGTACCTTACTACAGTACACGTAAGTGCCTAACGTGTCCCTTAGGATGAAAGCACGCGCGGTACATCTGTGACGTGGATACTGGGTCCCTCTCCTGTATTTAAAGGCCCTGTTCTGCCCTCTCATGTGTGGTTCTCATCAACATCAAACACACCCCTCAGCACATTACTAGAGGAGTCCCGCACATTTGAACAAACATTTAAATACCAGAACATCTCTAGATTTAACTCCCCTAACTTAAGCTCAGATAATTTCCCAATTTGTATCTCGCCCTCCCTATACATATCTATAGAGGCTCCTTTTCTGCAACTCCACGAGTCCTTCTGAAAACAGCCGGTGGAAGTATGAGGGACTCATGAGCATGATGCTGAAGGCCAAGGACAAGGTTTCCGGCTACTGAGTGCATGTTTATAGCCTCTTGAAAGTGGCCCCAACGGCTCTGGATTTGACAGTGCTGCTGGTCCTGAGGAGAAAAACGACTCCACCTGGGGTGGGCTGTGGGTGGTAGCATGGCAGTGTGACAACTGACTCCGAAACTAGGATGCATATTTAGAGAAGCGATTGCGAGAAGCACAAATACGACAGACCTTAATATTAGGTCTCCGAGCTTTCATGAAGAAAAATTTAATCTCACTAATGTAATATAAGTAGCAGAATGAACGCTCACCTTATCATTCTGGGTCCGGAGATGGCTATCATAGGACATTGGCAATGCAGGAGGTACTTCAAGAAGCACATTAGACTAATTGCATTTTTGGAGCATTAAATTTAGTTAACAAGATGTATGAATTTATGCTATGACTTGATTTGGAGTTTTTTTTCTTCACAACCTACTTCATCCTTCGAGGCTGTAAGCCGTATATCATAATTATTATATATCCCCTTGGCCGAGGAGGTTACTTTTCCAATAGAATGGATGTCCTACTCAGATTCGGCTCAACGTCACTTTCAATTTATAAATTATGTGAGGATTACAAACTGTGGGTTGTGGCGGAGCCACAGCCTTGGCACGGTTATTGGTAGACTATTTATTCCTTTGAAAGTTGGGAAAACTGGTGATGATGACTGGGTAGGCGTGCACTACGAGTATTAAATTAAATTCTTACTGAAAGTCCTTCTCTACTCGTATCGCACCGCAGCAAGGGGTTTTTTTTTTCCTTCTTTCTTTTTTGCCTCAAAGAGCCCTTATAGGCTAATAAAGCGCCATACCGGTGTTCATCAGCCTGGCCTTGTTCGATATGTGCGAGATTTTCCGATGCAATAAAATAGCCTGAGTGTCAAGGAAATTGTGAGGAAGACTTCTGATGCCATAATTATCATCATACCGGTAGTTATATTATTATTACCATAGTCATCGGGATACCAATGAAATCAAAAGTGTCCAAACGGACATTTACTTTTATTTATTGTACAATTACTGTACAATCTGAGGCTATGGAAACCCGTGTAACTAAAAGACTCACATCCATCCACCGTAGCTCATCACCTAGAATCTATCTCTAACCTACAGCAGAAACCCCAAGAAAAAAAGATCAAAAAATAATGGGTAAAAAACTAGTTAGAGGGTACAAGTGCAGAGGTGAAAAATGGAAAACGGAAAAAACGAAAGAAAAAAGACTTTTCATGTAGTATCATAATATTCCCTCCGGACCTTGGTTCAACGAGAGGGGGGTTATGGAGGAGATTTTAGGGATAGTGTTAAATTTAACAGGTAATGCAAGTACGGGGGGGAAAATTCAAACAGTCAAACCCATTTCCGCCTCTCTACTAACATCCATATGATCACCAAAGTTGTGAATGGAGACATCCATCCTGTCCCTCACTTGCTCACCATCGCCATTAAGAGAGGTAACCCCGTTCAGGACATCGGCAGCATTCTCTTTGTTTGCAATACTGGAAGCTACTGCCTTGATAGCGGCCGCTTTCCTCTTGAGCCGAGAACTCTCCCCGCGGATACCCTCAAGTCTCTTGAAATAACTGGGGTCAACGGGTGTGACATATTCGCCACTGAAGACTCCAACCTCGAAGTTCTTTATAGTTGTGGACAGGGAGGCGCAAGACTTGACGAGGTCGGGAAGAGTTTGGTAAATAACAGCATCGGCGCCAATATGCTCGGCAATCTCTTTCTCGGTGCGATTGAAAGCAACCAGTTCTTTGGTGTCCGCAAGATCAATACCATAGATGTGAGCATTTCTACTAAGCAGTTAGCCATAAAATCGCATTGCCGGAAACTATAAGTTTGGCCGTGATACTTACCGAATGGGGGGTGCACAGCTAGCGAAAAAGACTTTCTTCGCCTGAGCATCCTTTGCCATATTGACGATCTCCCGACTGGTAGTGCCTCGAACAATGCTGTCATCAATAAGGAGTACATTTTTGTCCTTGAACTCCTCCTTCATGGCATTTAGCTTTCTACGAACCGATTTCCGCCTCTCCTGTTGTTCTGGCATAATGAAGGTTCTTCCAACATATCGATTCTTAACAAATGCTTGACAGAAAGGAATTCGAAGCTCTTGTGAGAGTCTGAGCGCAGAAACCTCCGAGGTCGTAGGAATAGGGATGACTAAATCAATTGTTTTGACGACATCCTCGCCCAGGCTTTTTAGGACAGTTTTTGCCAGAAACAACCCCATGTTTTGCCGGGAACGATAGACGGACATTCCGTCGATGATAGAGTCCGGACGGGCAAAGTAAACGTACTCGAATATGTCAGGTGTATGATTTAGGGTCGGGTTGACCTGTCTGAAGAGGGGCTTGCACCCTTTTTTAATAATGACAGCCTCGCCTGTGAAAGTAATTATGTTAGTGCTGGCCTATATATCTGAGGTTTGGGGCCTCACCAGGAGCAATGTTAACATGATTTGTAAAGTCTAGTTGGTCAAGGGCTACGCTTTCGCTAGAGAACATGTAGTCCATGCCACCCTTCATGCCTTTCCTCTCTCCCAAAACAAGCGGTCTAATGCCGTAAGGATCTCGGAACCCTATAATACCAAATCCTGCGGGAATCTTTAGCTGCGCGAGGATATTTTAAAGGCTTTTTATTATTCTCACCAGCAAGCATGGCAACACATGCGTAACCGCCTTGACATCTTCGATAGATTCCTTTCAGAGCGGTAAAGAGATCTTCCTCATTGACACGGAATTTTCCCGTCTCTTGGAGAGTGCTTGCGAAAATGTTCAACAACAATTCACTGTCTGAATCAGTGTTTATATGTCTGTGCGCTTCATGATCGAGATGATTGCGCAATTCCGGTGAATTAATGATGTTGCCGTTCTTTCAAGGATGTTAGCCACTACCTTCCCCCCATGTATGAGAAATAGTTGGGATAACTAATCTACTTACATGGGCGAAGCAAATTCCATATGGTGAGTTCACGTAGAAAGGTTGTGCCTCTGAATTTGCTGAGGATCCGGCAGTGGGATAACGTACTATTTAAGTATTAGAATGGATTCACACATGTACGATCGATTGTAGCGAATTGCGTCCCTGCCCAGATGCGAAAAAAGCAAGACGTGGGGGTAGAAACATAACGATCCGAGGAAGCTTATTTCCAAATAGCTGGGTACGAAGAAACTCACAATGACCAAGTCCCATACTTCCCGGCAAATCCATAAGTTGTTCAGGTGTTCTAAAGACATCTGAACAAAGGCCATTGCCCTTGCGGGTATAAATTCTCCCACCCTGACCACATGTAGCTATTCCGCAGGCGTCTTGTCCTCTGTGTTGTAAAACTGGAAGTCCGTCATGAATATCGGTCACGGCAGATCCACTCGGATCCGCCAGGATAACTGCGATAATTCCGCACATTATCGAAACTATCAATTGAATCAGTGGGAGCCTTGTGACGGTTTAAAGGGTAGTGCCTCTAAGCAGGAATGTGCAGTGGTATCAAGGAGGAGAGAGAAAGAACTTTTGGGGTTTGGAAATTGAGATAGCTCCGAAATTAGATGAAATGTGACTGATTCAAGTCCTCACTCTAGGTGCGGCTCTGCGGAGATAGTTGAGAGGGCTGGTACGGACGAGACGAAAGTTTGTCAGAGGGTTTCTAACACTGAATAAGGTTTCACACGAAGAAATGACAAAACAGGAGCGCTGCAATCTGTAAGACAATTGAGTGATGTTCATCTCGAACAACTTGAAAGACTAAAGCCCCTACAAGGAGCGGGAAAACAGAAACAGAGAGACGGATCTGGGGTGTTGACTGGACAAACCTTTTAAATTGTGCGGTATCGGAATCCGGGGAGGGGCGGGGATACAAGGGTAAAGGGAACGGAAAGTCGGGGAGAGAAGTCCAACTGTAGTAGGGCGAACTAGGACTACTCTCCAGAGCTCAGCCGAACTCTCGATCAGAGTTATAGAGAAGGATGGCGAATGAGAAATGGAGGGAGGGGACAGCAGTATGCTATTCTCGTAGGGAATGAAACAATAGACTAACACTTGAGCACAGTATTTGCAAACACTTTTCTTGGTGGGGAAGAAATGTTTGGAGGGACAAAGTGCAAACCAGGCTAGCGATACCAAATGCCAAAAGCGATACCTGAAGGAGGAAGACGAAGCCAATTCTGATAAGGGGTTGAAGAGTAACAAACACTAACTTGAATGACGGGGGGAACAACGAAATATGATACCCGTACAGCAGATGATAAGGACGGGGGGAACAGAGTGAACAGTCTTATGGAGAAGATCTCTCTTTTTTTCCCTTTTCTTTCCCCTTCGCCTTGTTGGCCTTAAATTGTTACTGTTATTGTTGTTATTACTATGCTGTTATTATTATTTCACTACTGTTATCATTATCATCATCATTATCATTTTCACACGGCAATGCACCCTCCTCTCTAAGGATAGTGTGCTGTCCCCGAGTAGGGAGCCGGCCATCACACAAAAGATTCCTCTTGTCCGATTACCGGTATACTGTGCGTCTGGAGAGAGTACCGGTACCGGTAAAGTACCGTACCCGAGTATGAAAATGCATTAACCCAAGTCTGCGGCAACGTTACTCGAGTATGATATGATAGAAGGAAAAAAATATTTGTCGGGTGTGCAAAAAAAAAAAAAAGCATATTTTTTGTTCCCCAACCAGCCGCGCCTGTGAAAGAACCCTTACCCACAGGATGGCCTGAGCATGCCAAGGCACTCTCCCATTGCTGATTGGTCCCCAGGATTGCTCCAAGTCATCGGACCCTGGAAAGTGATAAACACAGGGGGATTGGTTGGAAAGCTCGTGATCCCCCCCGGGAAAAAAAAAAAACGTGGTTATCGACAGAGCCTCACACAACATCCCAGCCTCATCTCATCACTCTCAACTGTCTCAGCTCATCTCACCCCACCTCTCGTTGACTCGTCCCGTACCGATCCCCTATGCGTACACATAGTACAATAGTCACAGCTACAATCACAATAATCCATCATCCTCATCATCGCTATCATGATCACAAGTGTTATCGTCTCATAAGTCTTGCATCTTTCCAATCTCCTATTGGCCTCTGTTGGTTACAAACTTTTAAGCCCCACCAGACGCTACCCACTGCATTCATTCACCTGCTGGATTCCCGGAAGGCATGCTTGACTAGGCTTTATGCCGTTCTTTGTTTCCCAAGCTTTGTTTGTTCGGTACAATTGGGAAGATGGTCCTCACCTAAACGTTGCTGTCCGGTACCGGCGAACGGTGAACAGGAAATACCCTCATATCCAGTGTTTCCCGGTTGGATATCTGGGTCTGTGCACCATGGCTTTGGAACTGGGTGAGTGCTGGGTGACTGCGGCCGCCGGATGTGGCAACATTGCCTTCTGTGTCTCGGTGGGGCTCTTGCGTGGATATTGTTTCTCTGCTTTACTGTTGATCTGAATGGTACCTTAGCCCCCCCTCCAGTTTGCTTTCTATTTGCTCTTGTGATCTCTTCCGAGCCTTTTATGTGGCCTCTGCCTCTGCTGCCCTCACTCCCTTTTGGCTTCGCCATTCTTCTGCCTTCTGCCTCATCCTCATCGCCGCCCAGTTCACTGGTTCTTGTGTGGTTCGCTGTCATTCAGGGGGTTGGGGACTTCAGGCTTTTCATCTAACAAGATCAATTATAGAGCCCTACCGGCCTGGTTTCGAATACCCCCTACGCTCTTCAAGCTGAGGATCGGGAACCATCAAACAGGGACTGCATTCTTTGTCAAACAGCCCTGAACGTTTCCGCTATTATTTTATAAGAGAAACCCCACAATCTACGGATAGTTGATTTGGGCATCCTAGTGCCTTCCGGTTTTTTCCTGCCATTCAGAACTAGCGAAACTGCCTTGGGCAGAAGTCTGCTTATGGACCAGTGCCCGCGCCTTCTACGCCGTGAATAGTTGCCACATTTCGTCAGCACCATCTCGAACTCACTTTGCCAACCACAGCCATGGACTTCTGCCGAACGCTTCCTCCAATTTTTGAGCCCTTGGCAGGCTACGAGCACCCTAGTGTTATTGAAGTTGAGGATCATGGTATTGCACTCTGGGCCTTGTGGCTGCCATTGGTTCACTCTAGCAATTACGGATATTCATATAAAGTTTTTAGATCAATGCCACCCGAAGAAGCCAGCTATTAGTTATTCCAAGCAACTAGTTGATCTTACAGCCGATATGATACTTACTGATGGAGGTGGTTGGCTACCGTATCTATTCATTTAAAACTTTGCTATACGCTCCTGTATTGACGATGAGCACTTGAAATTTTAGGCGATTACCCACTTCCGTCCAACACTGCCTCCAGTTCTAGACTTCCTCGCGCCGGGCCTAATGGTTCTACTAGGGAAGCCCCCCAAACTCCTAAAACACCAAAACCCCATAAAACCCCGAGACACACCGGGCTCAGGCAGGCTGGGCAGTGCGAAATCCCAGTGACTACCGGCCTAGGTCTCCATGGTTCCAGCCCTCCACAGAGGTCTACCCGGGTGCACGAGCTGGACCTTGAATTGATTGAGTATCATAAGATGAGGCTCCGCAAGCGGAAGACTGTTGAACTTTTCGATGGGTCCTTTATCCGCATTATCTCGATCAAGAATAAACTTACAGAAGATGGAAGTAGTGAGATATTTCTTCAAGGACCACAGTTCCTCAGGAGCAGAAACCTGTTAGGGTTTTTGCCATTGAAGAAGAACGAAGTTGCCATGTCTTCACTATCCGAATCCGTTCCACTTTCAAAGGTCTTGAAAACAAGGATTTTGATTCTTACGAACGCCAATTTTCCAGAGTTCCGGGATATCACCGGGGTAGGTGATGCTGATGAGAAGGAAGGTAGGCTAATCTGTCGGTGGACAATAAACCTCGTTGGCAAGACGGAAGGCTATCTATGTCGTCTCAAAGAAGACGAAGCAGACAAAGAATTTCGAGTTGCAGAAAGGGGATTGCGGGATCAATGGAGGGGGGATCTCTTGAGAGCTAAAATTACGAATCCGAACCCAAAGAAACAGCAGAAACGTCAACGGGATGGAACTCTCAAACAGATACATCTCAATGGTAACGGGGCTTACGGCGAGCAGAAAGGAACATATTCTCATCACACAGGCAATCCCTTCGCCAAAGATGGGCATACGCAAAGAACCACGGGCTCCGCATTTTTGGGGCATCGTGGGCAGGCATCTGGGGAGGGGGCTCGGCTTTCCAATGCACCACCGGCCCCTATCGCGCTTCCATCACCTCCGACTCCGAGATGGGGTCCTGAGCCCATGGATATGCCTCCTCCCCCTCCCAAGTATCCCAACGCATTGTTTCCCGGGCAACTAACCTTTGGAGGCGCCCAGACCAAATTTGGGCTCCAGTCACCTCCTGGAACGCCGTTCTCGAAAGCTAGGGTTGGGTTTTGGGTAAACCCCGACCCCTTGGCATATCTAAGTGGAACGCTTCTAATACGACTCAGGGTAATGATTCTCGTATCCGTAACGAAAATGCTCCAGCCTTTCCAGGCCCCGATGCCAGACTTTCTGCGCCAAGTCGACCTGAGCGGCTTACAAGTTACCCCTCAGCTAGAACTAATCCACTCGGCAGCCCTATACAACGGAAAGGCTCCCCCAGAGAAAGCAGCCTGATAAAAGCTGCTACCCTTGACGATGCTGGCTTTGAATGTTATAACCCTACGATCAACATTCCTCTTCGCCAGCCCGTTTTTAACTCTATTCGCGAAACTACTTACACGTTCGGTGATGCGTTTTGTGGCGGAGGCGGAATGTCTAGTGGTGCTCGTGCAGCCGGGTTCAAGAATGCGTGGAGCTTTGACTCTAATTCTGAAGCCGTGTCAACTTATCGCCGGAATTTCCCGCAATGCACAACCTATCACTCGACAGTCAACGATTTCCTCACGCTTCGTCACCCAGAGCTTCTGGTTGATGTTGTGCATCTTTCCCCCCCATGCCAACCTCACTCACCTGCTCATACGATTGCTGGAAAGGATGATGATAACAACGAAGCATCCTTATTTTGTGTCCGACAGTGTCTGCAGGCTTGCAGGCCGAGAATGGTTACGCTTGAACAGACTGATGGGCTCCTGAATAGACCCGAATGGTTTCGGAGTTTGGTCATGATGTTCACAGACATTGGCTTCTCCCTCAGCTGGAAGGTTTTACATGGAGTGGAGTATGGGGTACCACAAACACGAAAGAGATTGTTTCTTCTGGCTGCGAGGTGAGTGCCTGATCCGCGCCTGGATCAGCGGGCTGCAACTGACCTGTCTAGTCCTGGAGAAGAGTTACCCGAGTTTCCAAAGCCAACCCACGCCCACCCAAAAACTGCGAACATAGAGGGTCGTGCCCCTCCACGCACAGTGCGTGATGCCATCTCCGGCATACCGGCAACTGCCACTTCTCACGTCCATAACTTTAGCCCATTCCTCGATGGCCCCCGGCTGTCGACCGTAAACCTCGATTTACCCTTGATGTCTACGATCCTTGCTAGTGGCGGCCCTTACGACGTTCACCCAAATGGTCGAAGACCCTTCACCCCGAGAGAGCTCGCGTGTCTCCAAACATTTCCTATCTCTCATGTCTTTTATGGCAGCCCATTTCAGAAGAAGAAGCAGATTGGAAACGCCGTCCCGCCCGTTCTTGCAGAGGCACTGTTAAGCAAGGTACGCAAGGCTCTCGAGAAAGCTGATCGGTCGAGGAAGAAGAAATCTGGCCAGGAAGACCCGTTCTGGGTTCCGGAAGGTAGCAGGGGAAGATTGGCTCGTAACCCGATATGCATCGCCGATTGAGCTATGGTGAGAGAAGTGCGTGTCGTTGATCGATTTTACGGTTTTTTTTTCAACTCCTCACTATGGGGGCATTTTGGTCATGCTCGGGCAGGGGTTTTTCTGATGGGTGTTTTTGCTATTTTCAATATTTTTACTCAACAGCTTTTGTCATGTATACCAGCGCTCTTATGGAGGAGGACTAGCTGTTATGTCTAGGTAATGCATGGAGCGCGGCAATCCGGAGGGATCTTGATGTCTTTTTTTTCCCCTTTCTTTCCCCTCACTTATCGTAGACATGGGGCAATTTTTTGTTTCTGCTTTCTCAACCCAACATGGAATTAATTATCCGACAAGAGCTTTATCTTGCAGACCATATCATACCATAGCACCTTTGCACATCAAGCCAATATGATATACGATAACATGATGAAAATCCATGTGCACTCAGGGAGAGAGATATAGATTGAGAAAGAAACACGAGGTATCAACGTCAACCAACCCACAATCCCAACTCCAGAAGCACAAAAACAAAAATATAAAAAAGAATGTAGAGCAAAAGGAAAGGAATCATTCATCACAACCCTCACTCCCACCTCTTCTTCCCTTCATTCGAATTAGACTACGCAACATAAGTCCTATGATGACTCCTCATCCTCCTCCTCCCGAACCCCCCGGAACGTCGGCAAGTCAAGCAAGATATAAGAATATCGAAAACACTACAAACACAACTCATCATCAGCACGCTGTTCTGTTCGTTCCTGGGGGGGTTCTCTTCGTTCTTTCCGGAAGTATGTGTGGGGGGTGGGGGGAGCATAATACCTTGCAACGCCGTTAATGATAGCCTTCAAGATACCGGCAATACCATTCACGATGGCCATGCACGTATTCCCGATCGCACGAAAAACGGATCTGATCTGTTAGGCTGTTTGTTAGTTCCTGGGGTAAGCTGGAGGGGGAAGTGGGGGAAGTTAGTGGGGGGGTTATCGTACACAGGATGCCACGCCGCCCATTTTGGTTTTTTCCCTTATTTATTTTTTATTTCTTTATTTCTTTCTGTTCCGGTTGTGAGGTTGTGCGTGTAGAAGTACGAGTATTATAGAGATAACAGTTCGCAGTAGTAGTAGTAGTTGTAGTAGTAGTAGTATGATGGTAGGATGAGGTACTGTACGGGAAATAGGGATCCATTACCGTATTTATATCCTACCACACCTTCCATATCGGCGTCACGGCATTAATCTATCTTGGTTGTGAACTTGGTTGTCGTACGAGTACTGTACCTCCAAACTCAGCGTTTTTTCCCGGTTTTTTTAAAAATACCTGACGTCAAGTAGTGTTTGATATGTATGACGTATTATATGCGGCTCAACTATGGAAAAAGAAAGAGAAATAAGCTATCCATACCAGGATTCCCCACCACATAGCGAAAATCCCAGGACAAGGTTTTGTTGTCGCGATTCATCTTCCCGACGTCAAGGGGTGGATGAATGGAAGGAGAGTTTTATCGTGCGCCAGCCAAGTTTATTTTTTTTACAACCAAGGAAATGATACACTTGGCTACCGTACGAGTACCGTAACTCCCCCTCCTAGAAAACAACCCGTGAGGGTTTTCTTCTCATACGACAAGAAGAAAATCCAAGTTTGGACAAAATTGTTTTTTTCCTTTTTTTCCTTTTGGAAATCACGATACTGGTATCATACCGCCCTAATTCTCCTTCCCTCGTAGCGTCAGGGGATGTGATGGACACGCCAAGACTCATCGATCAAGAGACTCTATTTCACATCCCATCACTCGCTGATCGCCACCTCCCCGGTTTGGGAAACAGAGTTAGCGACTAGGGGAGGTTTGGCCCGGATCCCTCCGCGTTCCCAAATTTCACGCACTCTCGGCACGGCGCTAATAGGACGATCGGTGAATACTATGACAAGAGAGGCAACGATATACGATACAACACAGTACTCGCGCGGCCGAGTTGAAGTTGCACACCCAAAGCTAGTAATGATCGTCGGGCCAATAGAAATAAGCATGACATGATTGATAATATACTAGATTTGGTACCACCTAAAGCAATACACGATTGCAGAAGAAACCACCGTTCGCCAACCCAGCTCTCACCAAAACACTGGCATCTCTATTGATTTCCCCCAAATCTTTTGTCTCAATATGCAAGCAACACATTCCGGGAGTGGCAGCGCCCCTAGAGTACCATTACTCAAGAGAGCAGTAGTTCTAGCATTGAACTGGCATGGAAATATGTCGTTCAGAGAGATAGAAAAAAGACTTGGTATAAAGAAGAGGACAGTAGCGGAGATTGTACATAGGGCTCAGGTAAATATACTTCAACATAGCTTAAAAATGAAATCTAAGTACTGTTAGGAACATGCTTCGAATCCAATGGATTTTGACGATGTTTTGGCTTGTTTGGAGAGTACACATAGAGGAGGAAATCCAAAAAGGTTTCCTGAAGGCAGTGAAGAGTCATTAGCTCTTAGGGATCTCAGTCAAAAGGACGAAGACCATTGGTTAATGCCTTTTCCTGAGATTTCTAAAGAATTGGGAATTGTTGCTGCTCGTTCAACATTAGAAGAGGTTTTTCATTCCCAACATTAGATTTTTCGCCGGAAAGCTGCCTATAAACCATCACTCTCACCATCCCAAGTGGAAGCCCGCCTTGCATTTGCCTATATGGCCTTACAGATATTAATCAATACAATTGTGTTTACCGATGAAACCTGGATTGAGTTCAATTCTATACGATGCCCAAGGAACATTTCACGTTATATTGATATTAATTCAAATAAGTATGCTATTCATAACCATGACAATCACAGAAAGCAGCCAATTCGAGTAATGCTATGGGGAGCAATTATGTTCAGTCAGAAGGGTCCCTGCCACATCTGGGAGCAAGAAACCGAGGAGGAAAAAGAGAGTTTTCAGCACATTATTGATGAGGAGAATCAAGCATGACAAGGACAACAGGCTACAACCAATCACAAGCATCAATTCCAGGCACTTGGCAGGCAGACGCATTAGCAGACTACAATACTAGTATTGATAGTCAAAATTTTGCTGAAGGGCATACAGGAAGGCATAAGCGCAGAAAACAACGACCAGAACAAATGTTCAGAGAAGAGCATCTCAAGTTTCAGAGTCGAGAGGGTATAAACTGGGTCTCATACAGGGAGAGGATATTAAGGCCAAAACTATATCTGTGAATTAATGAGATACAGGAGAAGACAGGTATGCTTTTAACTTACTTGATTGAGGACAATGCACCCGCACATCAGACAGCACAGCGGATTGATGAGGTGGAGCGGTGGGAGAGAGGGATTATAACTGTGGATTGGCCTGCGAAATCACCTGATTTAAATCAGATTGAACCACTTTGGGACTATGAGAAGGATGAGATATCTACCTGGCAGTTTGTAGGTACAAGTCAAGAGACAATTGACTCGGTGAAGGAGGCTTTAATAAGGGCTTGGGAGGACCTCCTGCAGGAAGTCATAAATCAAAAATGTTCATCTTTTCATGGAAAACTTCGACAAGTTATTCTCCACGGTGGTTGGAATAATTTTAATGGTTAAGTTCTACACAACATTTTTGTATGAAGTAAACTGACAATATAGCGAGCCCCAGCATAGCAAGTCCTCCAGCCTGGTAAGCACCCAGCATAGCAATCTACTTCATCCTGGTGAGCACCCAGTATAGCGATCCGCTCCAGCCTGGCGAGCACCCGACATAGCAATCCGCTTCAGCCTGGCGAGCCCCCAGTATACCAATATGTTAGGCGGAGACAACTTGATAGACTTCAAAGTTGTCTAGGCCAATCAAGATTCGTTTCTATAGACGGAGATTGTCTAGGAAGGCTCAGACTTTGCTCGTTTCGTTTATGACTACTAGGAGCGAAGTAAAATAGGTAAAGTAGGGTAGAATCGTAAAAACAATATTATATTGTTAAGGTCTCTTCTCCATTACTTGATGATATCTAAAGCTTGGGAGGCACTTCGATATTTATATTCCGCGTCTGAGTGTTTGCAGACTACATCTATTTATCATACAACTATGTACTTCTTTAATCGTAATTCACAACTTCGAGTTTTCTTCCAAGGTGCAAACACCTGTAGACCCTGAAAACCATCACACCCTCTTCAGTAATTACGATATTTCTTCTTAGGAAACGTACTGTTTCCAATAGTAATATCCTGATTAGCAGAGTCTTTAGACTTATGGCCTAGTTCTTAAGTCGAACTGAGTTGGCTCCAATTGTCTTCGCCATTGATAAAATGATCAGTTTTATCCTCGACTATATCTGTAAAAGTGGTCATCATTACAACTATCTTAGGTCGTCTGACTCCGATCCTTTGTAACTCCGTACCCAACCGATAGATTTTCTTTAGATGACTTCCTATTAACTCGCAGGAAGCCACTCCACTAGACTGGTAATTAATCCCTCGGTCGGCAACCCTTAGTTGCTCTCTGGGTAGTAGGTTTCAGTAACTATTGTAGTATTGAGAATCACCCCATGGCTATGACGTGTTCCGAAACCCAGTTGCAACACTCTGTAAAGTTCATTGGCTTCTTTAGTAGTGTCTTTTGGAGTTCTAGACTCTTCTAGTGTATGTAAATGTATTGGTCTCTAGTAGAGATTCTTTACCATTTGATACCATCTCTTTGTGCGAAATCGTCCCGTTACTTATGGCCCATGCCAAAGGTGTTATGTCTTTGAAGCCAAGTAACTCTCTGAGTAGTTGACGGAATTACTCCATTCTACTTCTCAGGCCTAGCCAAAGGTCCCCTCACATATATGCTGCAAACAGGATCCGGTCAGACAGACGGCGACGATGTATATGGTATTATTCTAATACGCTCAATTCTTTGGTAATATAGTCACAGGACGTGACTGAGATTAATATATATGATGACGCGCGGGCCCCGTAAGGGAGCCGGAAGGGGGTGTTGGAGACCAGAAATTCCAATTCCGAGTGGGGTTATCCTACTTAGGGTGGTTCCTAGGTATCAGGTTCTGGTATTCCTAACACAATATCCCAGCATAGTAAGCCCCCTATGCTGAATCAGTGAGCACTCAGCATAGTGAGCTCCTGACATAGTGAGCCCAGGCCCTCCAGACATAATGATCCCCAGGCATACTGATCCCCCGACATAGCGAGCCCCCAACATAGTGAGCCTGCAACAACATCCTAGTGAGCTACAGGCCTGCACATAGTAAGCACTTGGTATAGTAAGTTTATGGCATAGCGAGCTCCTCACCTACCAAGCCCCCAAGATATCAAACCCCTAGTATAGCGCGCTCCCAATATCACAAGTCCCGGACATAGCGGGCGTCCGATGTAGCAAGCTCCCAGCATAGCGGGTCCCCGCCATAGTGAGCCCCCAGCATAGTGGGCCCCCAACATAGCAAGCCTCTGGGATAGTGAGCCTCCAACATAGCGAGCTCCTGGCATAATGAGCTCCTGACATAGTGAGTCCTTGGTGGAGTGAGCCCCCAACAAATGGAGCCTCCAGAGCCTACAGCTAAGCCAGCCCCCAGTACAGTAATCCTCCAGTACAGTGTGCTTCAGGCATAGTGAGTGCGATGCAGAAAGGTGGAGAAGGCCGGGGAGCTTTCTGAGAGGCATGTCTTTCTTTTGTTAGCATATGATTGCTCCATATGATGGGAAACATACTAGGAGGAGACTAGCTCTGAATGGGTGATAGAGGAAAAGATCGGAGGATAACTTCCTTATGTTTCTTATAATTCTGTCTTCATAATTAGTTGATTGAGCGCATTGAAAGGAATACGATAGGTTTCCTTACTTACTTAAAGTTCCACCCTTGCAAAGAGAGTTATATTTTGTTGTTTTAATCATCTCTCACTTTATTAAAAAGAATTAAATGGTTGAGTGCCGTAAACATTCAGACTTAAACCCTGGAGTTAAACAGCCAGAGGAAAGAAAAGATCATGAAATCAGTACTCATGGTGCCTTGTCATTGTATCACCATACTGAATCTAGTACTTCATCAATCACGTCATGCTTATTTCTATTGGCCCAACGATCATTACTAGCTTTGGGTGTGCAACTTCAACTCGGCCGCGCGAGTACTGTACTCGTAGCGGAAGGGTTTTGTTTGACATGAACACGTTTTTATTAGAACCTACACATGGGCACTCAATACCAAACAAATTTTTTTTGCATAGCAAGCTTCATAGACATGTAGAGTATATATTCCTAAGCTCAAAAAATATTCATGAGCCTTATACAATGTGAATTGCATCTTCTAAATCAAAAATAGTGAAAAATACTAAAATTCATTTTTTTTACACTAAAAATATCTTGTTAATGGAGGGGAAATGATTTAATAAAGGAGAAATGATTTGATAAAGGAGAAATGATTCAATGAAGAAGACGATCTGATGAAGAAGTGCTCGATTCGGTTGAGTTTGCTAAGAAGGAGAAAGACGAGGAGAGAAGAGGTTTTCCTAGTGAAATAGGGGTATTGCCGAGCTACGATTACCCTCTCCACAAATCCGCGGTCATGCAACATTCATTACTTAGCAAGTTGAGGGATACAGGCAAAAAAAAAACTATGCCTTTGTAGGTTTTGTGAGGTCCTATCATACAACCTAGTAGAAAGTTATCACTTGTCAGCCTCGTACAAGAAATTATACGATTTTGGAGTGCATACTGAATGCCTGGCGGGGAGCTCAAAAACTGACTCCAGGAGTCTCTTTACGGCCTCAAACTACCACTTGGAGGCACTTTGGAGCATCATTCTTTGATCAGTCGAGTAATATCGTAACTATCTTGTTCACCCCCGCGTTGATGAAATACTGCTCGAACACTGTCCATATTACCACTACTAATCTCAACAATTCACCGTCCAGGAGCTTTTATTACACCCTCTCCTCTTGTACAGTACTTTGCTTCATCCCATCCACCACCACCGCCAGAAGCCTAAACAATCTCAAAAGGATCCATATCCCTCTCGCTAACCACAACCTCAAACTCCCCCTCCCTCTCTACTTCGCTTTCCAGAACCTCAGCCAACTTCCTCTTCATAACATCTCTCAGAAAGCCCCTTTCAGTATTTGTATGGAAGCCTATCCTTATCAGTCCTCGCTCACTCCCATTGGGGGTCGGACAGAACGAAAAACTCACATGTAATAAACCCAACCCCCCGCTCCTTTGCCGCGAGTGCGTCGTGATGCGAGAGTTCCCCCGTGAATAGCAAGTCCACGTCGACGTTCTTGAACATGGAAGCGCCAGAGCCGGCACATATGGCTATCGTGCGGACCCGTTTGTCTCCCGGGGTTTTTCCGACCATAACTACTCTCGTCGTCAGCCCACACTAGCAAACCACGCTATCCAAGAGAGTGGGTGCAAATCAACCATTCTTCAATCCCAAAAACCCCTTCACTCTGTTCACGAGCTCTTGGAACCCTTTTGGCTCTTTGAGCGTTATTATACGGCCCATTCCCGAGTCCTCGTACCCTATAGCCCCCCCACTCTCAATTAGCCCTCCTCCTTCTCCCCGATTCCTCCCCCGCTTTAGACAGTCAATCAAACAAACCCGGAACGTCCTTGATCCCCTCAATAACCACCCTTCCACTCTCCTCCCCCCTCCCGCCAGAAATCCCATCCGCCAGCCAATCGTTAACACCCCCGATCTTAGCGTCAACAGCTGTATGTGGGGAGTACACACTGATGCCTTCCTGTGCCAACCTCAGGAGGCTTTCTTGTTGTGTATTGGCTAGTGTGAGTGATTTCAAAGGGCGGAATATTATCGGGTCTATATTCTACCGCATTAGCAAAGCCAAGGTAGAGATTATGCTGAGCAGAGGGGGAGGACGGTAGGCCACTATCACGGAAGACCTTAGTGAGATTGCTTCGTCTACTACGGCTTTTGTGAGGTCGATGGTTAGGAGGACATTGTGGGCTTCGGGAGAGGAGCGGTCGGTTCGGTCCGGGGCCTCGAGGAGAACTAGTGTATTGTTAGATTTAGCATCGTGTTATTGGGGAGAGAGGGAGGAGCGCACGGCCTGTGTTATCCCAGGTTCTGTCCGCGAGTGCTTGTGGGTAGCTGTAGATGTCAATAGTGATGTTCTCTAGTTGGCAACTGTGGAGGCGGGAACAGGTACAGTTTTTGCACCGCGTTGACTACCGTGCGAAGAGTTCTCGAGCGGATTATTGCGTTGGAAGACATGGCTGTAGGTGGTTCCAGTAGCGGAGTAATGGGAAGGGATTCTTTGGATGATGGTGGGGAGGACCGGTATGTTAATGGGGCCAATCCGATGTTACCCGTGATGGCCCATTAAGCCGCATTGGCACACAGCCAAGAGGCAAGAGAGATGAAGCTTAATTAATTTCGACTGCATGCAGCCATACCGGTAGACTAAAATAATTTACGAGAACCCCTCAGTTTATTTCTAGTCGTACGAGTACACCATCACCATACAATAGATAGTCTATACAGTACTAGTACAGTACGTACAGCACTGCACTCTGCTGTACTTGTACTCGAGCACAAGCAGAGCGCAGCGCGTGATGTCTGGTTTCATTAATTCCCGAGGTCAAACCCATAAGGAATCCAGTTATGACACCAGCACAACAAATACCATCCAAGCAGAAAGCGTACACAATAGTCTACTTCTAACTCCTAAAATCCACCCATATCTATAGAGCTGTTGTGCGTCCGCTCACTTCTTCTCTCCGATCCCATTGATGGTCTCGTTTGCGGCCGGCTGGTTCCGTACATACTCGACGAACCTCTTGCCATCGCTGAATATCTGTCCGGGCATGGTCATGTTTTGAACCCATCGGGGAATGCTTCCTCCGGCGTCACTCTGCTGTGCGTTAACACCACTCCCTCCAGCGGTGGTAGACAGGGCACGACTTACACAAACCCCCGTGAGAATCTCCACCTCCCCACTCTCCAACTCACATATGTATTCAACCGATATGTACTTCCCACGAACATCCGACTCTGACACCATCTCGCCCTCAATCGGCAAAGAGATAACCACAGAAGACCTCCGTCCGTCCATCTCGGGCAAGTCCTTTGAGATCACACTCGCGAGGAACTCTCGACCGGCAAACGCCTGGATGTGCAAGTATCTACGAACATCTTCCATCCCACAACCAGAATTAGCCGGAGGAATTAGTAATCGGCTAGTTTGGGGGAGGAATAGTAAGACAAACCCCTGACCAATATTTTCCCTTCAAACTCTTCCACCGCCATTTCTTCATTTGTGTCCCTTGGCCCGTCCAGCCACTCGCTCTCGGCAAGGATCCGCTCATCGATCATGGCGCGGTGAATAACGTCGTAGTCCACATCGACCCTTATTATACGTGCAATCCAATTATCGTTGTCGTGATGGGTTCGGTAGGTATTCAGATGGGTATCTGTTTTTAAGGAGGTCCATTTTATGTATGAACTGGTACTTGAAAGGGATGTTATGAAGGATAGTCCGTCCTTGATGAGCTGTTCAAGGAGCGGGGCGGTAAAGCACTCACGGGCAACAGGGGCGAGGACGAGTTTTAATGCCATGGTTGAAATGGGTGGCGATGAGAATGGGGAGAAGAGAGCGAGGGAGAGGGAGCGAGGAGAGAGAAAGGGAAAGAGGAAGAATGGAATGAAAGCAGGAACACCAGGGGCCACTCAAACACGAGCAGGCGTACAGGTACCATACGTATCGTGCACCGTATCACCAAGGTCACATAAGTTGACCAACTGAGCTCATCCATTCCCTATATAGAACACATCATACCGGTAGGGTTTCGCTATCTCTGACTTGCGTCCGAACCTAACCCATGATAGCCCACCCGCCCATCCCTACTTGTACTGTACGAGTACTCGGGGTGGGGGTGAAGTATTGGGACAAGCAGGGGGGCTTGATGTCTCTGTGAATTACTTGAAGTGGGATTGAAGATACTAATTTGAGTAATTTGCACAGACATAGAACCCTCCTGCTCGTCCCAATACTTTCCCCCTAGTACTCGAGTAGAAGTAACAACCATGGTCTTTACTCGAGTAGCTCTTATACCGGCACAGCATGCAACCAATCAGCAGTCGGACGCCCAAGCGAACCATCAGAAAGTCGTGCAGCACCTTTCCACTCATACTGTACTGTGGGTTACCGGTACCAGTACTGGTACCTGAATATTATGCAATGAACTTTATTCGTCAAGTTCCAGATTGTTAATCGGGTGGATGTGTGCGAACCCTGAAGTCTCACCACCACCCTCCTTCTCTGTCACGCCCAGGTCTTCCTTCACTTCCCCCTCGTTGGCTAGGGCTGGACCTCATCGTGGTTTTAACCCGTGGATCTAGCTTGGCGCGCCAAGACTTTTGGTGAATGGGTTGAGCACTTGGATTTTTCTTTTCCTCCCCTCCTCTCTTCTTCCTCTCTCTCCCCTTCCCTTCACGACGACCACGGCGACCAGAGACAAAAAATCGACTCTCACCTTTGCTTGCTATCATATCGTACTACGAGAGGAATTGAAGGGGGGGTTCACACTCGTTTTTTTTCGCCCAATTCAGCCCGTTCACCTCTTCAATTCCCCTCCTCACGATTAACGAACGAACAAACGACAAACACACGATCAATGAACGCCCTACCGGTGTCATATCATAGCCGAGACAAAAAATGGGCTTCGTAAACCCCGGCCGCTCCTCAACCCGGCTAAACAAAACATTCGGAAAACGCTACAACAACCGCCCTCCTTCACCCCCTCCTCGAAAACGTCGAAAAACCCTCTCACCATATTCCCCCTCCTCTTCCTACCCTACACCATCGTCATCAACGACCCCCTCGCCAAATCTCTCCCGTCATCAAACCCCCCTCTCCACGGCCTCCCCGCCACCACGCCCACTGCCAACCCGTGATCCCCCAACCCTGCAAACCCTCCCACCGGAACTCCTCCAACGCATCTTCCTCTTGAGCAAAAACCCGCGACTCCCCGCAACGACCCTCCGCCTCACCCGCTCCCTCTCCGCCCCAGTTCTAAAACACGAGTACATCCGTATACACTACGGCTCACACATTCCTCCGGAACTCCTCCTCCGTCGCTTCTTTACCGCTCAATTCCTACGCACTCACGAGAGCCGGTACCAATCCACACTAACATTCGCACCGGATGCATTCCTCCCCCCACACCGGTATTCTATTGAGGTACTGCGCTTACTGCTCCTCCGCGGGGCAACCCTGTCAGCGGGGGACGCGGACGAGTGGACCGCTGTACTCAGGGAGGGCGTACATGAGGCAGACTTGGAGTTTGTCAGGGCTCTGCTGGAGGAAGCGGGGGTGAGACCCGATGAAGAATGTCTGGGGCTAGCGATTGAGAAGGGATGGGTGGAGGGGATGGAGGTCTTGGCCGAGAGGGGCGGGGTCGGGTTGGGTGGGCGAGGGATCTGGGAGAAGGCGCTCGAGGTGGGAAAGGATGGGAGGGGTGCCGAATTGGAGTTTCTGTTGGAGAGGGGATGTCCACCTGCGGCGTTGTTGGGGAGGGTTTGGGAGGTTATTAATGGGTCGAGGCGGTGACCGGGAAAGGGGAGGGGGTCGATTTGCTTTACTTTGCTTTGCCACGTCTTCTTGTACATTTTAGGGATGCTCCCGTAGATGGATTTTTCATGACACGTTTCATTTTTTTCCTGTACATTCTAGGGATTCTAGGGACCGGCAGCGGGGACAATTGTAGATGGCTGCATGGAAAATCACTCGCATTCGTAGAAAAATACACTGTCTCTCCTAGCTACGCTCCTGTTCTTTCCCCAACTTTGCTTTGCTATGACCTGCCTTTTTTTTGGCTAGCTAGCTTTTGCAACACAAGTGAACAAAAGGTTTCTCATTGATACACGCCTTATCTCATCCCATGCATTACACACCCCAGCCTTCTCCTTTGATACTCATACATTAGCTCAACCCCCCCCCTATACCCCTCACCGTCTACCCACCAAACTGCCTGCAGCAAGTGACCATCAAACTCAGCCCAGGATACCCCCAATACAGCGCCGTAATTCATCCAAAGAATAGGTAGAAGTGAGGCAAGGGGGTTAGAAATTCCCAAACCAAACTAAACAGACTCCATCCCACCCCGACAAGGACGGCATTGCTACAGCTAGGCCCGGCAAAGGCAGAGACGAGATAATCTACATAATAACGCACTCCCCGTCATCCTTATTCTTCTTAACGTGCAACCTAGATAACTTCTCCCGGGACTTTTGCACCGCTGCGCCACCCTTCTTGAGTTCGTTCAGGCGCTGGCGGGCTTTTTCGTGGTTCCGGTCTAATCCCCCCCATCAATTAGTCAATGAACCGTTCACCCACTCCTAGCAAAAAAATATTGGGGGGGGGGTAACTTACTAGCAGCTTTATAATACCACTTCTTCGCCTCATCCAAGTTTGCCACTACGCCGATGCCGACTTCGGTGTAGTAGCCGAGAGCGTACTCCGCGTTTCCCAGTCCCTTCTCGGCCGCCTTGCGCGCCCATAGATACGCCTCAGTGTCGGATTGCTTGATCACACCGTCAGCGCCGGTGAGATACCACCCGCTCAGGGCGAGCGCACTCTCTTCCTCGTTTTGCGCTGCCGCGCGGCTGTACCAAAATATGCTTAAGCGAGGATCGATCGGGCAACCCATGGTGCCATACTCAAAGGCACAGCCGATACGGAATTGTGAAGGTGGGTAGTTGAGCTCCGCAGCCTTCATAAAGAGTTCGCGGGAGTAGGAGGCATCGGGGATGATGTTGTCGTGGGATTCACATTCATAGATTAGGCCCTGTTAGGGCGTTAGCCTAGTATTGAAGTATTCGGGTAAGGGAGGACTTACAAGCTGGTGGAGAGCATGGGGATTGTTCTCATCCGCTTGATCGGCAGCCCTCTTCAGCCAGTTGATGGCATCTCGAGCGTTCTTGGTCTGGCCCAGTAGTCCTTTCAGCTGAATCATGCCAAGCTTGTACATGGCGGCGGTATCCCCAAGTGCGGCTGCCTTCTTGTACCAAGTTATTGACTTGAGCGGGTCTTTCCGCACTCCCGCGCCGAGCTCGCAGCAAACTAGACCAGATCACTATTAGCTCATGCCCTGACACCACAGGTCATTGATAACGATATGCCGTACCAGCAGTGCGATAAGCCGATGGTCCATGATTTAGCTTTGCCGAGGATTGGTACAAGTTGAATGCGCGCTCGTGGTCAACCTGCAATCCAAGCAAGCCCTCCCAGTAGCATTCTGCTAGGTAGAACATCGCGTCGGGATATGGGTGCGACTTTAAACATCTAGTCAGTCAGATACTAAAACAAGTAGGTTCAATATACCAACCGAATTGCACAATTTCTTGACAATCTTGTGTGCGTCGAATATATAATTCTCCCGATTCTTCTTGGCGGTCCTAGCATCCGCACGGCCGCCCTCGTTCGCAAGCACTGAAGCCGCTTCGACCATCTTCTTCGCAAGCATCAATTGGAGCTTCTGATCTCCCGGGTTGGCCTTAGCGTTCTGCTGCAGTTGGTTCAACTCAATTGGGGTAATGGGGCCTGGTTGTTGTTGAATGGGCTGTCGTGATATGGTGCTGCCACGGTCGGGTGAATACTGCCGTATAGGGGGAGGATGATTATTCCACCCAGACTGATCCTGCATCAACCCCGGACGAATTGGCGGAGGGTGCGCTGGCAGGAAATCCGCACTATACCTGGGACTAGACGTATCTGAAACTACGTTAGGAGGCGGCGCGGTGTGGTGGGGAAGTGAGTCGCCCACCGCGCTCGACTGTGTGGACTGGGTCCTTGGAGGATACTGATTCTGGGGTGGTGGCATTTGCTTTGGAGGCGATGATCCTCGCATTTGCTGTGATGGCACGGGCGATCCAACTCTTAGAGCCACTGGGATATTGGGCTGAGGAGGGGGAGGGGGAAACCCGTTCGCTGTCAACACTGGCGGAGGGTCCTCCGGCATATCTCCCGGCATCTCAACAGCGCCGTCATACGGCCCAGGGTTGTGTGGATTTCCATTGGCCTCGCTATATCCACCAGCAGGTAGGGGCGGTGGGGGCCCAGCCGCTGCACTAGATTCGCCGCGCAAATCGGGCTGTGATCTACTACGATAGGCCTGTTGAGCGAAATCTCGAGGCTCATTCGTGTAACCCTCCTGATAAGCTGGCCCCTGATACCCGGAAGAGGTATCATTCCCCCCATATTGCGCCGGTTCCTCATGATATGCGCTTGCTGGATGCTGTTGATCATAACCTCCCTCAGTGTAATCAGTGTCATAATAAGCATCCAATATCAAGCCAACACTCCCCCTATTATATGGGTCATTTGGTCCCTGCGTCAGATATTCCTCATACGCTGGTCGCGGAGGATACGCCCGAGGACTCGAAAAGTTCACTGCACTCGCATGTCGCTGAGGGTTATATGCTGTATACTGTGACTCTGCTTGGGGGGGCACCTGCTGTGGTAGTGGGCGCTGCGTATTCGCAGGCATGGTCATACTTCTCTGCGGTGGTCCAAAACCAGGGTCCGGGGGTGGCACTTCCTCATAATGCCCATTCTGTGATGGATACGTCTCCACCCATCCCTGCTCGTAGTGGCCTGTGCTCCGCCCAGGCGGCGGCAGACTACCAGGTGGAGCTCCTCTACTCGCCATCGGCATTGGCATGTTCCCGCGCGGAGGCGGCATTCTCTGATGCACCGGTGGTGGCCCTCTCATCCCAGGCAGGGGAGGTCCCCTCATTCCCGGGGGCAGGGGTCCATGATAACCTGACCCTCCTCCTCCCTGATATCCAGGGAGTCGCCTCCCCCCACCCACTCTATCCGACATAGTCTGCGACCTAGGCATCACTCCCCCACTTCCAGGTGGGGGAGGACCGCGCTGTCGCATTTGAGGCGGTGGATGGCCATCGTCGGTCAAGTGCATTGCAAACATCGAGTCGTCTATGGGTAGAGTTCCAGGCGGCACTGGATCGCGACGCTTCATTGATCCCCCAAAAGATGGGAAAGGACCATCCGAATTGGAAACCATACCTGGTGATAGAGGTGGACGAGCTAAAGTACGGGCGCGGGTAAGAATACCGCACATCCAGATCCAGATAATAGTCCGCCTAATAGGGAACCAAAAGATAAAAGCTCACCTCTCTCACTCCCTCCCTGCCTATAAGCAGAATCCATCCCAGGCTGGCTCGCGTATCTATTCAAACTCCGTTGCGAAGACGGTTGTCCTCGACCACCGGGCGGTTGCGCATATTGCTGGCCTTGACCTTCATAATGGTCTCCCGGATACCCCTTCTGCGGCGGATACTGTCCCTGGTCATATGCCATTCTGTGTTTTGTAGAATTCCCCACAGGTCCCGTATTAAGCAGGGGCGCAGCCTCGTCGTTGTTGTTGTTGAAGTGGAGCAACCGCTGGAAAGTTAAAGGAAAGAGGGCACGCTGTTCGTCAATTCAAGACAACACCTATTTTTCTTTTCTTTTTTTCCCTCCCCTTTTTCCCTCCCTCTCTTCCCCTGCTCAGTTATACTTTTTCAAGGCTTAAAGTACTGAAAAGAGTATTGTACAGTACGTTCACGTTCACGATAGACGGATGGAGGCAACAAGGTCTTTTTTTTTTTTTTTAACCCCCCCGCCCTCCACAGATCGGTACCAGAGAGGGAAATGGCAGCGCACTCGAGCACAAGTAAAGCCCGCACAGCGCAGTCAGCGAGCCGGACGTACGAGTACAGACGCAACTGCAGAGGGAAGAGCCGGATCAGGGGACCAATGCAAAGAAAATGAAAGCGGAGAGTGGAAGTACCGATGCCGAATTTCCAAAGGAGAGGCGAATTCTAGCGGTCAGTGTTTTTCCCTGGTTAAACCACAATTTAAATTGATGGGCGTTGTGAGGGTTTTTCTGCGTTTTCCGCTGTCAAACCTCCCTCCCCCTCTCCAGAACAAGGCGGGTATCGGTTAAAGTGAATAAGTATGATAAACGGTTAATAAGCGGTACCTGATTCCTTCTATCGGGTCGGTCCCCTCCCTTTTCTTCTTGAACGGTGGCCCTTCTCCTTAGGTCTGTTTAAAGTAGGGTGCCTTGCATAAGGGAAGTGGAGTTATGATACTGTATTTGAGGCCGGCGGGCAGCTAGCCAACCAATGAACCCATCAATTACTGGGCATAGAAGGGAGGGGGGGGAGGGGCTAACAATGCCTTTTCTCGATCCCCTTTTCTCCCCCACACACCGCATCCAAAAAGTTCGTCCTGAGCCCCGTGCCCACCGATCAGCGCTGCTCCCCAGGGGCTTGAGTACGGTACGGCGCGGGTACGATGATGCGGGTCGTTAGCACAGATGGAAACGTACTCGAGTATGATACAATAAGAATAGAGATGGGGAGAGAGAGGGAGAGAGAAACCGGAGGAAGGAATGACTCGACAAGTCAACTAGTATTATACAGTACAAGTAGACCACAGCACAGTACAAACTGGTACGGGCCGTGTAATAACAGGGAGGTTCGAAGTTCTCGCCACAACATCCAGCACTGACTGGTACAAGGTGTATATACCTTCGCAAAAATGGAGGTTTTGAGGATCCGTTTCCTCGAGCTGGTGCTTATTGAAATGCGGGAGGCATACCTTGGTTGGCTGGCCGCCAGAAAATTGACCCCTTGTTCGAAGAATAAGCTAAAGCTGTAAATTTATGGCGCTGGCGCATCGAGAACTCCGAACCTCCCCAATGCGAGCACCGGTACCGACTCTGCTCTCACTTGTTCCTTGCGCCTTTCCTCAACCCATATGATAGGCTGCAAACAACATTCTATTCTTACCGACCTATTTTACCCCTTAATTCAGCACCAGTCCACAACAGCTGCAAGCATGGCGCCGGTACTGTGATCCGGTGATAGGTTCCACTAATAGCCCAGCAGATACAGCAGGACCAATACTCGTACATTAGTTCCCCACGGTATTACACGGCACGATACCTTGCAAAAGGGACCAGAAAAGTGCCAGGAGAGGTTTTTGGGAATGATATGACAAATGTTACCCGGACAAGAAAGGTGTCAACAAGGGGAGATGAAAAATAGGCGAGGCCGACACTCCATGAGAAGCACAAGCCATTTGCGGCATCATAGCTCGTAAATTAGGGCGTTGGTTTTGTGGCAATCATCGAGGGAAAGCTGACCGCAGTCTGCATGACATTTTTAAAAGTCTCCGGGATGGGGGAGGGGAACGGTAAGGGGTTCAACTATATAGTACTCGTACACTCGATTAATTGACGGCTCCTTGACATTATATTTCATAAGGACTTGCTGTAACTTGGGCCATGGACATGAAACTCGGATTCTAGAGACTTTAATCAGTCACCAAGGGAAGGAAAAATAATTTACATTTTCCTTTGAAGATGTACTCAAAGGCTCAACTGGGATATATCCTGTCCGAAAGGATCAATTACTACTGCATTATACTCGTACAAGTACTCTCAAGTTTCCTAATGCCAGTATGTTGAGCTCTCCTGTTTCTTATTAGTCTATGGCTTCAATTGGCAATATACCGGGTTCTAAATTATCAGTTTCCAAATGTGTACACTGTGCGGTGTGATACACACGGGCGATCACCTATTCTCATACTACTCGTATACTGGCGTCTGCAAAGAGCATTAAGTTACACCCGCGACCCAAGCATGTGGAAATGGAGGGGAATCCATCCATCCATCCATCCATCATCACACCCTATTCAACCGAACGTCCAAGTGAACCACTATGGTACCGTAGCACACAAATTTTGGTAGCATCATACCGGTAGTGGTACAGTACAGTACTCGAGCGGTAATAAACACGCCTCTAGCCACCTCCCTCACCAATTGTGGCGTCGTGGCGCATACCCAGATTTATTTCCGAAACTATTTTCGACATCAAGGGCGACCGACGATCCTTTTGGCCCCTCCTCCATCCATTCATTCGCCCCTTCCCCCGCTGCCCTCGGACTCCTCTATCGTATAGCTACGATAGCTGCCACAGAACGAACACACCCCGTCCGTCACCAACCTACCGGCAAGGAAAGGAAAACCGCAGCGGCGAATACCCTAACGAGAAATATCTATATACAAATACGGTATTATATTATATAATGCGTGCGGTAGCGTACCTCAAGATGTTCGTAGCGTGAGTTCCCCCTCCTCCTCCAATTGAACGAATACAGGTACGAGAAAAGCACGAAGCACGCGGGTCTAACGCACCAATCAGCGGCACAGTCTGCTGCATCGGCGGTCCTGCCCTAGTATACTACGTGACCCCCGACCCCGACGAACTCTTCAAAGTATGGCTCTCTCCTCCCCCCTCACACTACGCGCTGACAATCTCGCCAGCGCTACAACCCAGAACTCCAAAGGAAAACTCTAGAAATGCGCGAGGAGCGGGGGAAAAGGTACGGCGAGTTTATGGAGAAACTGCGCGAGTACTCCAAGAGCCATAAGCCTATCTGGGTGGTCGCAGCGGAGGAGGAGAAGAAGCAGAGGATCGCAGCGAAGGCTGAGAGGAAGAGGATTAGAGATGAACTGGAGAAGCAGAAGCAGGAGATTTTGGAGGAGCAGTTGAGTGGGAAGTAGGTTGAGGCGTTTCCATCCGAGCTGCTATGCATAGTATTGGGGTGTCTTTGTATATTCTTTCTTCCCTTTTTTTCTTTCTTTTTCTTTTTATTCCCTTAGCTCTGCGATATCACTACGTCTGCACTTGTACAGCACAATTATCAGTTTCCTTTTTATCCATTGCTCAGTGGGGCCGTGAGGTTCAGTACCGAGAACCCCGCGAGAAATGTAAAACACCCCCGCCCCGCACCTTGTCGAACAGGTCCGGCAACATATTTTGAGAACACAGTACCAAAACGTCGCAATACCACCCGATAGAACACCCCGCCGACCAGCAAGATTCGCCAGGCTAGTTAGTGGGTACAGTAAGTATAGTACACTAAAACGAGCAGCAGCGCAAGCGAAACCTCTCACAATTCAACCAAATACCAGCACCCCCGGCAGGGTTTATATAGTCCAGCAATCAACTTGAGTGTTAAGAAGATACGACGTTAAATTCACCGGGACACAAAAGCTGCACGCCCCATCTCAAAATCACCAAATTTCCCCACTTGTGATATCGTAACTTGTACCACGAATCACCAGGAATCAACAGTAAACAAACAAATCGTAACATTGTGACAAAAAGTACGCTGAGCAATAGGTCGGTTAGTTTGAGCCTTATTTTCATTCTTCTATCCTGTTTAACTATGATATACCTAAAGTTATTTCGGTGTGGAATGGGATACTCTCCTCAGGCCTGGCGCCGCCTCGAGGAAAAATTTCGCTCCACTTCCGCTCTAGGCCTAGCCAAATTCACCACTGGATTCACACGGGCTGTCCTTGTATAAAGGGAACTCCTGCCTCCTGGCTTTTTTTTTTTTTTTTTTTGTTAAATCTTAGAATTTATTTGCTTATATAGGCGCAAACCTCCACTATAGAGACCATGCAGGAGTGCATGATTTAATCCCAAGATATGTTGGTCAAAAGCCTTCTCCACAGGCCTAGGGGAAAAAAAAGTCACCCCAAGTCCCTCTGGTATGGAACCAATCATACATCAAACCTCTAAACAAGAACTCACACTAAGCTAAGCCACTAATGAAAGAAGGAGAATAATCTATCTGCATTAGAAAATTCCTCACACTACTAGCAAAATAGCCAACACACAGGCTTAAGAAGGAAATCTGCAGGAGGTAACAAGAAAACCCACACTGTATTCTCTTGAGAAAGGAAATATAAAAGAAACTCAAACAAAAGAAATCTCCTTAAAATGAACAAAGCCCTCAGGTTTTTCCCTGTCTAGCCTCTAATTAGTGGGACATTTAACAGGCAACCCAGTCTCATTTTACAGACAGGAAACTGATCTGAAAGTTGTAAAGAGATAACAGTTTAGGCATACTGGCCCTAGTTTAAGTTGTAACCAATCAACTGAATAGTGCATGACTAGAGGTAGTACAATATCAATTGCATTTCATCTGAAAACTCAGCTGGGTGGTGGTGACATTCTACCAAGTAGAGGATCACACCTGGGAGTGAGAAAAGTAAAACCCCTTCATGGCTTAAGAGGTGAGTGTGTGTCACGAACGTGGCTTAGCGAGGAAAGGGTTTTCACGTGACACATGGTTATGAGTCACAGGTATGTTATTGTTTCACGCATATAACCTATTCGGGTTGTATGATTAGTTATGTGTGGGATTTGTGATGCTTTCGCACATGGCTCAAGTATGAGTCATGGGACATGCGCCTGACGAGTATGCCTTACGAGTGTGCCTTACGGGCAAGCCTTGCATATATGATTTATGTTTCGCACATGACCTCACTATGATGTCATGGGTTTCGTGCATATGACTCAGTCGAGTCATATGACTTGTTTATTGCGTTATGATTGGTTTATGAGTTTTGCACATGACCTCGCTATAAGGTCATGGATTTTGAGCATGTGATCACTTTGGTCACATGACTAGTTTGTTTTGATTTGGTTTTACACATGTGACCACTTTAGGTCACATGATTAAAGGCGGGAAGAACACTATATAAGGAGGCCGATGCAGCCGAGGAAGATAGGTTCTTCACACTTTGTTCTAAGTACTTTTCCTACATATTACTTCAATGAATATAAAACAACTTTATGATCTTTATCCTTATTGCAACGTTATCATTACGCCAAGAAGCGCTCGTTACGAAGACGAATTAGAGAAAGCTTACGATAGGTGTTTCCGGTAGAAGACAAAGGTCTTGTACTATCGGTAACATAGGCAGAGGCCTAGAGCTATCGTAAGACAAAGAAAAAAAGGGAAAAGATAAGTATCGTTCCCCGTCGCCAAGAACTAACTATCTGAAAGGGGATCGTTACAGTGTGCTACCAGGAAGGAAGGGAACAGTCTTTAAAGCCATTAAAGGGTAGCCTACTAAGCCCGGGGGTTG